CTGAGAGGCCCACAGAAGATGCCACATGGGTTTGTTAGAAGAACGTGTCTTACATAAACCACATCTGGGCTGGAGGTGTAGATTAACAGTAGCATGCTTGCTTGGCATGCACAAGGCCCTGGGTTCAACCCTCAGAACTGGAACAAAACAAAACAACTGAAATGAAAACATTTTTCTGACAAAGATCAGGCCGTTGTGAGGGAAAATCAACATAGATGAAAAATTTCTGCTCCATAGAAATTTTCTTCTAACTCATTTGAGACTTTCTATGGGTTAATAATAATCTTGGTAATTAACGGCAGTGAAGATGCTTCTGGCAATAATAAGTAAGGGATGGAGGGATGGCTCAGCAGTTAAGGGCTCTTGCTGCTCTTGCAGAAGACCCCAGTTCAGTATCAACATCCACATAACTGCTGGCCACCATCTGTAACTCCAGTTTGGGGAGATCTGGCTCCCTCTTCTGGCCTCTGCAGATAGTGCATGCACGTGGTGCACATGCAGACAAGGGGCACACACATAAAAATAAGTTTTAAAATTTAAAAATTAAGCCAGGCACGGTGGTGCACGCCTTTAATCCCAGCACTTGGGAGGCAGAGGCAGGTGGATCTCTGTGAGTTGGAGGCCAGCCTGGTCTTCAGAGCAAGTTCCAAGACAGCCAAGGATACACAGAGAAGTCCTGTTTCCAACCCACCCCCACCCCCACCCCCGCACACGCGCGTGCGGACATACACACACACACACACACACACAAATTAAAAATTAACAATAGAGCAACATTTGTGAAGTGCTTATGATATCTGGCACATAGTAATCATGAAACATTGGCTCACTTACTCTTTAGATTGTTCTTACCAACTCCTTTTGTTTTGTGGATGAGGACCCACAGGGATTTATTTTTCTCACCTACCAGGAGGTCAGGATCTAGACAGTCTGGGGCTGGGCAGGGTGACAGACAGGGACCCCCACTCTTTCTAATTTTCTATGCTGTCAGTCTTAGCTTGAGTCTTATGGTCTGTATGAGTTTCTTACATGTCACTGCAAACATCATACTTGACAGAAACAGCTTAAGGGGAAGAGAGATTTATTTCTTGGTTTGCTCTTGTTTTTTGAAGAACGTTTTATGGAACATAACCACACCCATTCATGTATACTTCGTGTCTGCTCTCACACAGGCGCACTGAGGATGCAGCCCAGACTTTTATGGCCTGAAAGGCCTAAAGTATGTGCTGTTTTCCTGTCCCACTGCCCCCCACACCTTGAGACAAGGTCTCACTGTGTATCCCATCTGGAACTCACTCTGTAGACCAGGCTGGCCTGGAACTCACAGAGATGCTCCCGCCTCTACCTCCAGAGTGCTGGGACTAAAGGTGTGTGCCACCACGGCCCGGCTTGGTTTTGTTCTTTTTGAGACAGTCTCACTGTGAATCTAATGATTGTCTTGCTTCAGCCTCCTGAGTACTAGGATTGCAAGCTTGGGATCCATCTGAATATCATTTCAAACAATTTATTTTGGTTTCTAGTTTCAATGGATTTCAGTCCATCATGGCTGGCAGTGGGAGTGGGTAACAGAGGCTGTTACATGTTACATCATGACCACATGCCAGACAGGAGGAAGGGAGAGCCTTCCCTCTCCCCACGCCCAGCAAGACCTTTAACCTTTTTTCTCCCTGGTAAGCTTGTGCACATAGCTCAAGGGTCAAGATTCTGACATGTACCTATCATAGCCACAGGGGACATAGGGAAGCCGAGTGTCTTGTTTCCCATCTGTGAGAGACTTGTGACTCTAAAGTTAGTTTATGTAGGCTGAATCCCAGTGCAAGCTGTGCAACCTTGGCCAATCAAGATCTTTTGTGACTCAGTTTCCATATCTGTAAAATGGGGCTGGAAATGTATCTACCTAATAGGACCACTGTGAAGATAAGTCAGTTCATACATGGAGAACACCTGCCGGCTTTCTAAAGTAATAGATATGAAATGAGTGGCCGCAAGCTGAGCATGGTGCTACCCACGTGTAATCCCAGAACTCAGAAAAATAAGGCAAAAACATTGAAGGCCAGCCTGGGCTACATTTCCAGAATCTGCCACAAACAAAACAAAAGGCTGGGGACGTAGCTCAGTTGGTAGATCAATTCCCCCGCACCATGAAAACCAGGCATGGTGGTGCACACCTGGGATCCCAGGACTCAGAAGGTGCAGGCGTCATGGTGAGAAGCCCAGGGTCATTTCAACTACATGTTGAGTTTGAGGCCAGTCTGGGCTACATGAGACCTTATCTCAATTAAGAAAAGGAAAGGAGGGCTGGAGAGATGGCTCAGAGGTTAAGAGCACTGCTTGCTCTTCTGAAGGTCCTGAGTTCAATTCCCAGCAACCACATGGTGGCTCACAACCATCTGTAATGAGATCTGGTGCACTCTTCTGGCCTGCAGGGATGCGTGCAGACAGAACACTGTATACATAATAAATAAATCTTAAAAAAAAAAAAAAAAAGTTGGCCGGGCGGTGGTGGCGCACGCCTTTAATCCCAGCACTCGGGAGGCAGAGCCAGGCGGATCTCTGTGAGTTCGAGGCCAGCCTGGACTACCAAGTGAGTTCCAGGAAAGGCGCAAAGCTACACAGAGAAACCCTGTCTCGAAAAACCAAAAAAAAAAAAAAAAGTTTATTAAAAAAAAAAAGAAAAGAAAAGGAGGAGGCAGAGGCAGGCAGAGCTCTGTGAGTTCGAGGCCAACCTGGTCTACAGAGTAAGTTCCAGGACAGGCTCCAACGCTACATGGAGAAGCCCTGTCTTGAAAAAAGAAAAGAAAAAGAAAAAAGAAAGAAAGAAAAGGAAAGAAAAAATTGGGAGGTGTCGCCACTGGGTCTGTCTCGCTGCTTCCTTCCTCAGCAAACTGGATGAGGATTACCTGTACATGGCATATGCAGACATCATGGCAAAGGTGAGCCCTGCCTCTGCTCTGCGGAGTGTTACCTTCTCCCTGGATGTAGTGCTGCCCCGCCCCCAGCACTGAGCGGCTGGGGGGGTGCAGGGCGTCCCCTTTGCTCACCATCAACTGATGCTGCTTCCCAGAGTTGCCACCTGGAGGAGGGCGGGGAAAATGGCGAAGAAGGTGAAGAGGAGGGATCGGAAGTGTCCTTTGAGGTAGGTGGCTTGGGGATCCTGGAGGAAGGGCTAGGGACTCTTGACTCCCATTCATCCAGCCTGTGACCAGAGGGCTATACCTGGGCACACAGTAGCAACAAAGTTAGACCTCAGGGTGAAAGCCACAGGAGCCAGACATTAACGATACAGGAGATTCACAGTGGTGTAGGGAGGCATGGGTAGAGGGTGGGCCTGGGATGCGGCCAACTCGGGGGGAAAGGTACAGCAGCCCAGACACAGGTCTCCCCAGCCTGGTGGGAGAGTATCAGAGAGGGATCTCAGAGAAGAAACTAGCTAAGCAGGATAAGAGCAACCAACAGCCATCCATGGTATCAAACACCTGTGATCCCAGCATTCGGGAGGATGAGTCAGAAGAATCATGAGTTCGAGCCCTGCCTAGGATACACAATGAGCTTTAAGAAAGGAGGGGGAAGCTATTTAGGGCTAGAGAGATGGCTCAGTGGTTAAGAGCACTTGCTGCTCTTGCAGAGGCCCTGAGTTCAATTCCCAGCAACCACATGGCAGCTCACAAACTGCTGTAATTCCAGTTCCAGGGGAATCTTATGCCCTCTTCTGGACTCTATGGGTACTGCATACATTACACATACAGATGCACATGCACAGAAAATAAATATCTTTTAAAAATTTATTATAGCCAGGCGGTGGTGGCACACGCCTTTAATCCCAGCACTCGGGAGGCAGAGCCAGGCGGATCTCTGTGAGTTCAAGGCCAGCCTGGTCTACAGAGCGAGATCCAGGAAAGGCGCAAAGCTACACGGAGAAACCCTGTCTCGAAAAACCAAAAAAAAAAAAAAAAATTTATTTTAAAATGAAATTCATAAGCATAATGATTTATGGTTGTAATAACAGCACTTGGAAGGCTAAGGCAGGAGGATCATCAAAAGTTCCAGGCCAATACAGGGCTACACTATAAGACCTTTGTCAAAACCAAATCTGTAATTGGATCTGAAGCAAGATGTAGCAGGGGGTAATTAGGAGGTTGTTATGGACATTAAGTGGTATTTCAAGATGTCTGAGACAATGCTATGACATGGATGCATTTATGATCCTTCTTGGCGGCAAAAGCGTGGGTTCTGACGACCCCTCCACAGCAGAAGGAATGCCGGGTTTCCCTTAGAGAGCGGTGCACAGGAACGTGGGGCTTTTCACGCGCATGCCCTCAGATGGCTTAAGCTCTAGCCACTGACCTGCCTGAGGGCCCTAGACCTGAGCCAGGTCCAGGAGATAAATAGGATGTAAGCCCCTTGGGGGATGAAGAGTGGCAGGGGTGGCTGGAGCTGGGGAGACAGACAGGGAGGAGGAGGGGGTCCTGGGGACCCAGGCTAGGCTACTGAGCACTGAAACCTGCCCCACCCCCACCCCAGGAGAAGGAGATGGAGAAGCAGAGGCTCCTGTACCAGCAGTCACGGCTGCACAACCGGGGTGCTGCTGAGATGGTACTGCAGATGATCAGTGCCTGCAAAGGTGCCGTCTGTGCCCCCCAACCCCAGGCATTCCCCCGTCCCCTGTGAGCACAACCCACCATATCATCCTGGGTGCCGACCTGCTGGCTCCGGCCACCTCTGCATGCCTCCGACCTGCATACACACTCCAGCTCTTGCAAATTCTTCTCACATGCCTGCCTTTCATTCTCCCTTCCGCCCTTTGGCCACAAACACACACACACACACACACACACACACGCACACACACACACACACACACACACACACACACACACACGTCTGTGCATATACTTCATCTCCTCCCTTCATTCCCTGAAATGGCTTTTTTTGGGGGGGGGGGCCTCAGACTCAGCAGACCATTTATGTTATTTTATTTTATTTTTTATTTTCTTTGCCTCATCTCCACCACCTCCAGGAGAGACAGGGGCCATGGTGTCCTCCACCTTGAAGCTGGGCATCTCCATCCTCAACGGAGGGAACGCTGAAGTACAGCAGGTAACAGACACAGGATCTTGGGAGGAAGGTTAAGAGTGTGGGTCGGTGGGTGGGTGTGGATGGGTGCTCCTGAGTGGCTTCCAGGTCTCCCCCACCCCCATCTCCTGCTGCTTCCACTGCAGAAAATGCTGGATTACCTGAAGGACAAGAAGGAAGTGGGCTTCTTCCAGAGCATCCAGGCACTAATGCAGACATGCAGGTGGGTCTTGCAGTTCTGTTCTACTGGGGAGGCTGTGTCCTCCTGCCCTGGGCTACTCCTGGTTTACTTAGGCTGTGCTGGCCCAGGAAAAGGGACTTACACAGAGAAACGCAAAGTCTAGAGAGCTGACCAGAGGAATCCAGGTGGAGGGCAGAACGTCACAGTTGTGAGGATGAGTTATGGGCTGGCGCTGGACCTTGGTGGCAGACTACCTACCTAGGCTGTGCAAGGCCAGCCGGGCTTCCTTCTCCAGCGTGGAGGGCAGGGTGGAAGATATGATGCGTGCCTGGGACCTCAGCACTCAGAAAGTAGGAGAATTACAGAGACTGTAAGGACAGCCTGAGCTCCATGAGACCCTGTCTCAAAAAAGGAACGGGAGGAGGAGGGTAGTAACATCGGTTCAGACAGTCGGAACCAGGAGGTTATTGACAGTTCCAGGGAGGTCGCAGCAGGGCGCTTGGGCACTCTTGGATAACTGCTCTGTCTTCCTCCCTTCTTGCCGTCAGCTGATTTTTTTTTCTACCCTCTGTAGGTTTTGCTAACTGGTGTTTCCGTTTCTTCATGATTTCAGCTTGCATACTGGACTTACCTCTCTTCACAGGGCCAGGGTGGAGGAGGCTTAAGGAAGAGGGTGGGAGAGGGGGCACAGATGGAGGGCAGAAGGAGGGTAGGGTCCAGGCAGGGGGTGAGGGACTGATCAGGAGGTAGACAGGGTGAAGGGTGGGATGGAGGATCTGCAGAAGGCGAGGGGTGTGGCCGGGACATAGCTTCCATCTGCTCTCTGATGTTGCTTGCCCTCTAATCCATTTCTTCTGGTCCTCCATGGCTCTTCAGCCGCAGTGGGGGCTGCCAGGCCATGGCTAAGACAGAAACCAGACCCTCACCACCTCCATCACCTCTTTCCTCAGTGTCCTGGACCTCAATGCCTTCGAGAGGCAGAACAAGGCAGAGGGGCTGGGCATGGTGAACGAGGATGGAACTGGTGAGACCTTCTTCTGGGTGCCCCTCTCCCTGGGACATGACCTTCCCCAGGGTCCCCCCTCCATCCACTGTCACTGCCCAGCCCACAGTCCCGGTCCTCCAAGGCACCCCCCATTCCCAAGCGTTCCCTTGGGTTCCCCCAGGGTTGTGATCCCCAGTCCTGAGGACCCCCTCCGTCCCTCCAGGGTCTCCCTTCCCATGGGATCCACCCCTGGGTGTCCTTCTGTCGGGTGTCACCTCACCCACCACGTGCCCCAAGTCTCACTCTGGTTGCTGTTCATTAATGTCCCTAATCCGGTTAATCGAGTCTTCTCTTTGCTGTGTTTTGACGTGTCTAACTTTCCACCCTGACCTCTGCCCCCTGCCTCTCTTGGGTTCTCTCTCTCTCTCTCTCTCTCTCTCTCTCTCTCTCTCTCTCTCTCTCTCTCCCCCTCCCTCCCTCCCTCTCTCCCTCTCTCTCCCCCTCCCTCCCTCCCTCTCTCCCTCTCTCTCCCCCTCCCTCCCTCCCTCTCTCCCTCCCCTGGCTTTCCCCTCATTCCTCTTCCTTGATAACCCACTCCTTCCTGTCTCCTTATGGCTGTCTTTCTCTCTCTGCTTGTGTCTGTGTGTCTGTCTTTGTCTCCATCTGTGTCACTGTACTTCTGTCTGTCTCTGTCTCTTTTTCCTCTTTTCTCCTGCTTCCTCCTCCCATCCTGTTGGCTGTCCCAGTCATCAATCGCCAGAACGGTAATTCCCCCGCCACCCATTGCTGTGCTGCGCCCACCCTCCCCTTCTAACCCCCGATGCCCCCTGGGGCTGAGGATCTGGGACAGTCAGGGAGGTCAGGGTGGTGGACCCTTGAGTGAATCCTACGGAGAAGGTTGAGGTCCCCCAAGTCCAGAGGCCGGTGACATTGTGAATAAGTCTTCTATCTAGCTCAAGCCTCAGTTTCCCGTGTGTAACACAGAAGTTAGAAAAGATAGTCAGTCAAGGTGCCTTTTCAGCTGGATATTTTGGGCCTTCCTAGACCCAGATTCCCAGTCCAGGGTGGGATGAGCCCTCCCCCATACCCACCCTCTCTGCGCTGTGCGTCCCAAACCCAGGTGGTGGTCAGCGTTTGCGGGAGGCAAGCACTCTAATTGGTGCCGCGCGTGCCCTCTGCGCCTGCTCTGATTGGCCCACTCCCAATCCAGTTCTCATAGCCCACCATGATTGGTTTCTTTCAGATGTCTATTCTGATTGGACCATTTGATACCTCCCTCTGCTTCTCCAGGGTTGGCTGCTTTTGAGGCTTTGGGCCAGTTGGTTGGCTTTCAATCCCCGTCTCCTCCCACCCCAGTCCTCCCCTGCTCAGAGCCTTGTGTGCAAGTGACCCCAACTCCTGTAATCCATTAACCCCTGCAGCCCCAGCTCAGGGTTATACCAGCTTCGGAATGTCTGCTGGGTCGCTCCTTGATGTCACACAAGTGGTGACATTGGAGGGACCCTGGTGTACAAAGACACTTGAGGCTCCCAGCTTCATGACCCAGGGCTCCTCGGGCCTCCATCGACGGAGCTCACTGGCTGGTGTCTTGGATGGTCCTCATAGTGTCTTTGAAGTGGTGGCCGCTCCTCCCAGCACCCCATACATTGTGCATGCGTGTGCAGTGTGCATGGGTTGTGTGCATGTGTGTGCTGTGTCCTGACGCATCTGACCCCTCCTGCGCCCCGCCCCTTTCCTTCCACCCAGGAGAGAAGGTCATGGCAGATGACGAATTCACACAAGACCTGTTCCGCTTTCTGCAGCTCCTCTGCGAGGGACATAACAATGGTGAGGTGGAGGGTGGGCGGGGTGGAGAGGACGGTGTGAGGTGTGGGGCTTCCAAAAGTTGCCTGAGCTGATCTCCAACCCCCTCCCCCTTCCCCCTCCTCCCTCCCCCATGATGACTTCCCCGGCCATGCTGGCCCAGCCTCAAGTCTCTCTACCTTCCTCTACTCTCATAAGAAGCGCAGTGTGTGAGGATCAGGGGTTCGAGGTCACCTTAGTTACAAGGCTAGCCTGAGCTACATGAGATCCTGTTCCAAAGAAACAAACAACAAATTCCTCTGAGTTCTGAAATTTCTGGACTCAAACCACTCAGCTTCATTTTCACTTCCTCTGGCCGGTCCAACTCCCCAAAGGCAATCTGCCAAAATCCAGTTTGGCCAGAAGTCAATTTACCCAAATGGGCAATTTGTCACACTCCGTTTTCCCACAGGCATTTGGCAGCCCTCCCTCACTGGGGGATGGATGCCAGTACTCAGAGTCCACAGACGAATGCATTGCTCGGTGTTTAAAAATGAGTCTATCCAATTTATTCATTTGTTTATCACATAAAACATTTTCCCAGAAGATGTACAGACTCTTTCTTAACAGAAGCAAGAATTTTCACAAGCTCTGTCCTCACTGTGCCAATTTGACAAAATCCAGGGCGAGCAGCCTGTTAACTAAACACGGTGTTGATGGAAAAATAGAACTCCATGCGGCTCAAACAGCTTACGCTAAAGGAACAGTTGAGCTGGGCGGCAAAGGCCTGTAATCTCAGGGCTCCGGCAGCCTGGCCGGAGGGTGACGAGCTCAAAGCCACCTTGGCTGCAAAGTGAAACTTTATCTCCCAAACCAAAAACAAAGAGCAGCCTAAATCCTGAACAGCCTTCCCACAAGGCCATTTCCATTACAAATGTGTGTCACGCAATCATGTGTGCAACGCTCCCAGTACATAGGCAACCATAGACTACACAGAGGGAGAGTGTATGTGTGTGTGTGTGTCTGTCTGTCTGCTGTCTGTCTCTGTGTGTGTATGTGTACCTATGTGACTGTGTGAGTGTGTGGTGCATGTCAGTATGTGTGTGACAGTGTGACTGTGTGTCTGTCTGTGGGACTGTGTGGTGCATGTCAGTATGTGTGTGACAGTGTGACTGTGTGTCTGTCTGTGGGACTGTGTGGTGCATGTCTGTATGTGTGTGACAGTGTGACTGTGTGTCTGTCTGTGGGACTGTGTGGTACATGTCTGTATGTGTGTGACAGTGTGACTGTGTGTCTGTCTGTGGGACTGTGTGATACATGTCAGTATGTGTGTGACAGTGTGACTGTGTGTCTGTCTGTGGGACTGTGTGGTGCATGTCTATATGTATGTGACAGTGTGACTGTGTGTCTGTCTGTGGGACTGTGTGGTACATGTCAGTATGTGTGTGACAGTGTGACTGTGTGTCTGTCTGTGGGACTGTGTGATCCATGTCTATATGTATGTGACAGTGTGACTGTGTGTCTGTCTGTGGGACATCAGGTGTCTTCCTCTGCCTGTCACTGTCTGCCTGATAGTCTTGAAGCAGGGTTTCTCACTGAACAAGAAGCACCCCTAGCCCCACCCCCCAAACCTCTGTCACTTAGACGGGCTGGCCAGGGAGCACTTGGGATCTGCTCATTTTCAGCTACATACTAAATTCAAGGCTATCCTGAGCTACATGAGATCCTGTCTCAAAAAAAACAAAGCAAAGTCAATAAAGCAAAACAAAAGAGGAAGAATGAGGAGACACAAATGGAGGACGGACTTAATCCCTATTTTCCCAGTAAATACTTGTTCAGAAAACTTTAATCAAAAACAATTGGACTTGGAAGAGGTGGGAAGGGGAGTGGGTTGGGGGGTGGGAGGATGGAGGAGAGGGGGATCTGTGGTTGGTATCTAAAATGAATAGAAAATTTCTTAATAATAAAAATTGAAAGAAAAAAAAAACAATTGGAAGCTGGGCATGGTGGCTCACATTTTTAATCCCAGCACTCGGGAGGCAGAGGCAGGTGAATTTCTGAGTCCTAGGCCAGCCTGGTCTACAGAGTGAGTTCCAGGATAGCCTCTTGGAGAAACTTTGTCTCAAACAAAATTAAATAAAAACAATTGAAGCTGGGTGTGGTGGTTACTCAGGTGTAACTTGGTACTTGGGAGACTGAGGTTAAGAGGATTTGAGGCTAGCCTGAGGCACCTCTCCAAACCCTGTCTCATGGAAACCTGATTAGATGGCTCAGTGGGTAATGGGACTTACTGGCAAGCTTGACCTGAGCTGGTTCTCGGGCCCATGTGCTGGATGGAGAGAGCTGACTTCCGACGTCATTAACAAGCACCTTGCACGTGCAAGCCTTCCCCTTCCCCTCAGGAATAAAGTAATGAAAAACAAATTAGACAGGGTTTCACTCTGCAGCCTCGAATGGCTGGAACGTGCCGTGTACAATAGGTTAGTTTCAGACTCACGGAGACCCACCTCTGTCTCCCCAGTGCTGGGATTATGGTGGTGATCATCATGCCCATACCTAAATAAATGGGAAAAATTTTGAGTGTGTGTGGGTATCTTGCCTACAAGTATGTACATGTACCATGTGCATGCAGTTCTCGAGGAGACCAGAAGAGAGCGCCAGATCATCTGGGACTGGAGTTACAGATGATTGTGAGCCACTCTGCGGATGCTGGGAAATGAAACCAGGGCCTCTGGAAGAGCAACTAATGCTCTTAACCACTGAGCCATCTCTCCAGACCCACAAATTAATTTTTAAAAATTTACCAAAAATGAAGAAAGGAAAAGGGGGAGGCGAATCCCTACTGCATTTGCTACATGGAGGCCCTCAACAGTGTCTTTAGATAAATATATAAAGGATCCTCCATCCCTGTGTGACACACATACTTCAGTCTTGGGAAGTTAATTATACGACATCTGGCACACAGTCAGCACTAAATATGAACATTTCATAAACGAATAGAGCCCATTGTCTCCCCAAACACAGATGCTCACTGACTGAACGGATGTCCATTTCCTTAGATTTCCAGAACTACCTAAGGACACAGACGGGGAACACGACCACCATCAACATCATCATCTGTACAGTGGACTACCTCCTGCGGCTGCAGGTGAGGAAGGGGGACCAGCCTCGCGGGACCGGAGCCAGTGGCGGTGGGGGCGCGCACGGCTCCAGCGCTGCTCCTGTCCTCCCGGCCCCACAGGAATCCATCAGTGACTTCTACTGGTACTACTCGGGCAAGGACGTCATTGAGGAGCAGGGAAAGAGGAACTTCTCCAAAGCCATGTCAGTAGCTAAACAAGTGTTCAACAGCCTCACTGAGTACATCCAGGTAGGGCCAGGACTGGAGGACCTGTGGAGGCAGCGCTGCTCGCATTCACAGCACCCCTGCTGGGCCTTCATGCCACCCTCTGTCCTCAGGGACCCTGCACTGGAAACCAGCAGAGTCTGGCGCACAGCCGCCTCTGGGATGCCGTGGTGGGGTTCCTGCACGTGTTCGCCCACATGATGATGAAGCTGGCTCAGGTTTGAGTTCCTGCGTTATCCGCCCTCTGCCTCCAGCCATCCCCTATGGCCCCCTGCCACACTGGTGCGTCCCCAAGTGCTCTGCGCATATTATCCAGACGGGCTTCCTCCCCGTGGCCAAAATCCGTTCTGGATTGGTCCTCTGCATGCTTCTTCCTCTACCCCCACCAATCGGCTCGTTTCCCACCTACACGGCCATTTGGATCCCCGCCCCAACTGTCCAGAACTCTCCTGTGACTGGTTGGTATGATTTTCTCTCTGATGAGGTCATCCCAGATGCTTCCAGCTTTGGGGATGGGGTGGGACCATGCTTCTAGATCAGGGCCTGGGGCTGAAGGAGTGTTCCTTTCTCGCCCTGCCTGCGGCAGATGACTCCCATGTCGGGTACCCATGATGTAAGGATCCTGTTGAGTCCCTGCTCCCAGAATACTTGCGCTCTCCTTTTCCCCGCTGCCGTTCTCCTCTGCAGCCTCGTGAATGCCTCGCACACGCTCCATTCATTTGTGTGCTTCTGCTTGGTAGACTTAGTCAAGGCTTGTACAGCTGGACGAGTACAAACTCTCATGCACTGCATGATGTGAGAGCAGGCAACCGCGGAGCACTAGACACATCCTAACACTCCAGAGACACTGGTGTAGTACAATGACTGTCCGGCAGGTGGCAGTAAAGCATTCTGTATAATTTCCCACCAACCAGTGTCTTTTTTTTTTTTTTTTTTTTTTTTTTTTTGGTTTTTCGAGACAGGGTTTCTCTGTGTAGCTTTGCGCCTTTCCTGGGACTCACTTGGTAGTCCAGGCTGGCCTCGAACTCACAGAGATCCGCCTGCCTCTGCCTCCCGAGTGCTGGGATTAAAGGCGTGCGCCACCACCGCCTGGCCCCAACCAGTGTCCTGAGGAAGGAGACCCTCTCCTAATTTGATGACGCCTAACAGAAAGGAGTTGAATTGAGAGTTCAGTTTCTCAGTATAGTTAGGCATGTGATGTTGGTGTAATTTTAAAATACTGGTGGAAATGAACTTCCAAGTACGACTGTGATAATTCATCAGCCACAGTCCAGGTGCAGGATACAAGGGATATTCAATACAAGGAGCTGGGGCATGGCTCAGTGGTAGAGCCCCTGACTAGAATCCCCCAGTGAGGGGCTGGGATGTGGCTCAGTGGTAGAGCTCCTGCCTAGAATCCCCCAGTGAGGGCCTGGGGGTGTGGTTCAGTGGTAGAGCCTCTGCCTAGAATCCCCCAGTGAGGGGCTGGGGTGTGGCTCAGTGGTAGAGCCCCTGCCTAGAATCCCCCAGTGAGGGGTTGGGGGCGTGGCTCAGTGGTAGAGCCCCTGCCTAGAATCCCCCAGTGAGGGGCTGGAAAAATGGTGCCCAGACTTCCCTTCACCCCAGTAACAGC